TAAAAATTACAATGAATTTCTTTGCTTTCGTGACTAGTTAGCTGCTTGCTGGTTAGAAATTGGGTTATTCAAATTTGTTAGCAAAGTAAATTCGTGGTAATACGTAATTCTTAAGAAGAAATGTATTCCATCAAGTCAAACCCAAACAGCTCTCCTCCTTTTCTTAAGAAATTGAGCGGTTGTTAGCTTCAGTACATGTTATACTGTCTAATATTTTACGGGATACTGTCCGATTTATTGCCTATATATCTATGCTGTTTCTGTGATACTGCCAAGGTTTCAAATTCATTTTGTCAGTGAGAACTTCAGCTTTTTAAAGCACGGAAGATGAAAATGACAAGATTGCTCATTATTGTAACCTAAAAGAGCGGTTGAGGCCTGATCCTTTGAAGACGGGAATGGGATCCTTGTCAGCAGGCAGCAGCAGCAGGTATTCTCCACAACAGTTACGAGAGAAAAAGGCTTCCCCAGTCACTAAGGTTCAGTCTTGATTTCATCTCCCGCACTTGGCAGACTAAATTAACCTTATCACAACCTAAGTATTAATAAACATTGCATGTCATACAGAGTTTATCATTTGAATTTGCTCTTGGCTCTTTTTATTTTATTTGGTAGACTCTAAAAAAAAATGTTTCCAGGCTTCTTCTCGAAACTTTGTCAAAGTTACCAATTCAAAACACGTAAGATGTTAAGGGTTTACAAGTCGGATCGTTCTTGGATCTGGAATTACTACCACTGGCTTAGTGACTAAGGCGAGCCGGAGGCCAGTTGGTTACACTCCGCAACCTTGGTTAAATCCAACTGGAAACCTAACATTCTCCTCGTCAGGGAGATTCGAACTAGGGATCTTTCGAGTACTAGTCTGGTATGATAACTGCTCAGTCAGCACAACAGTTTCATAGCAGATCCTACGTGTCATGTATTTGGTCCCGGTCTTAGTAGTAAAGTCAGGCGTCATAAGAAAATAAAAAGATATGTCTCCCTTTCGGACTATAACTCTCGACTGGAGGAGGAAGAAACGTTTACATTACTTTCAACCCCATTAGCGGCCTTTCTATTTTACTAAATTATAGCCCACTAGATACTCAGATTAGTCGCCGAAGCTTCAGCGTTCAAGCAACCCCTACATGGGCAACCACTCTGACAGATGGAAGAGTCCATCTTACCCACGTATAGGCCTCCCAACTCATCTCACCTACATGGGGGTCCACATTACCAGACCCTTAACCCACTTAACGTTCATGGGCATTCGCACTGGCAGGTCTTTTAAGCCACCTGACCTACATGGGTGTCTATCATGTAGGTCATGCCTGCTTTTAAAACTATAAATTGAGTTTGTCTCTACAATCTGCTCCTTTAGGTCATTCCATTTACTTACTACCCTTACGCGAAAAGAAAACTTTTTAACCTTTCTATGACACATCTGAGTCTCAAGCTTCCATCCGTGCCTCCTTGTTCTATTGGTATTCAATGTAAATATTTCCTCTTGTTTCCACCTCTAATTGGAAAGTTCACTTGGACTAAATAGTAGAACGACGGTCTCGCTTCCTGCAGGACGGCTTTCAATTCCCGACGGTCCAAGTGGTTGGGCACCATTCCTTCCCCCGAGTCCCATCCCAAATCCTTATCCTCACCCCTTTCAAATGCTATACAGTCGTACTGACTTAGTGCATTCTCCTGATAATTACCTTACCTCTTCTTTTTTTCCCACCCTTTCAATCTCCCTAAATATTTTATACGTCTGTATCATGGCCCCGCTTTCCCTCCTTTCGAGCGTCGTCAGGTTTAGTTCCTTCAGTCGCTCTTCATACCTCTTCCCTCGCAACTCTGGGACGAGTCTTACGCCGCCCAGGACGAGTCTCTGGGCGGCGTACGTTATTTTTATGAGCCTCTGGAGTTAAGTGGATCCACTCCCAGGTCTTTTTCTCTAGTCGTTATAATGAGGTAGTTTCCCTTCATCGTGTATTGGCTTTTCGGTCGCAAGGCTTCTGATCAGATTCCCATCACCTTACACTAGCTGCTGTTGAACTCTAGCAGCCAGCTCTGAACCAGCTCTGCTGCTTCTTCACGTCATCTTCGAGAACGTTACAAGCTTCATCTGTCTCAAACCCTTCTCATTAGTTTCGCATCGTCTGCAAACATCGACATATAAAACTCAACTCTTACAGGCAAGTCATTTACATAAATGAGGAATAGTATGGGTCCCGGCACCGGTCCTTGAGGTCAGGGAGTGGTTGGGGGTCAGGGAGTGGTTGGGGTCAGGGAGTGGTTGGGGGTCAGGGAGTGGTTGGGGTCAGGGAGTGGTTGGGGGTCAGGGAGTGGTTGGGGGTCAGGGGGTTGGTGGGAGTCACATAATAGGTGATGGCTAAGGAGTGGGTGGGGGGTCAGGGAATGGACTGGGGTCAGCGACTGTGTGTGTATGTACTCACCTAGTTGTACTCACCTAGTTGTGTTTGCGGGGGTTGAGCTCTGGCTCTTTGGTCCCGCCTCTCAACCGTCAATCAACAGGTGTACAGATTCATGATAATGAATGTGTGTGTGTGTGTGTGTGTGTGTGTGTGTGTGTGTTCACCTAGTTGTGTTTACGGGGGTTGAGCTTTGCTCTTTCGGTCCGCCTCTCAACTGTCAATCAGTCAACTGTTGCTAACTACTAACTATTTTTTTTTTCATTTTTTCCTCACACACACACTTTATGCTGGAAAAAGCTCAGAGGTATGCCACTAGACTAGTCCCAGAACTAAGAGCGTGACAGGTTTGCCAACCACAGTCTTAAACAGTTAGCCAGGTAAACTGTGTGTAAAGGCTTTACATCAATGAGAGGTCTTCACTATAATAGTGTAATCTATCTTGTTTACCTAACTCATGTAAAATTATAATATTCCTAAAATTATAAACATTAACACATCCTACGTATCCACGTATCACGTATCCACGTGTCATCATTACCGGACGAATTGTACCAAAGCTTGGAGGGTTTTAGCAGCCTTGAATCTCGCCTTATTTTTTTTTATTTTTTTATTTTTATCTTATAGATTGCATGGCAAGTGCCCGGCATAGACCGTTAAGCAGGATTCTCGTGCATTTTCCCACCCTGTTTGTTATTACCGGCCGACACGAAGTGAGACCAAGGTAATACGACTATTACCTCTGCGTCATGCTGGGTTATGCTACATGTAGCCTCTTTGTGGGGCCTCGTAGCCTGGTGGATAGCGCGCAGGATTCGTAATTATGTGGCGCGGGTTCGATTCCCGCACGAGGCAGAAGCAAATGGGCAAAGTTTCTTTCACCCTGAATGCCCCTGTTACCTAGCAGTAAATAGGTACCTGGGAGTTAGTCAGCTGTCACGGGCTGCTTCCTGGGGGTGGAGGCCTGGTCGAGGACCGGGCCGCGGGGACACTAAAAGCCCCGAAATCATCTCAAGATAACCTCAAGATAGCAGGCTGCGGCCAGTGCCTGATGCTGCCACCAACGCCGCCTGACCATACTCTACATGTTGCATGGAAATAATCCGCTCACAGATGTTTGGTATGTTTACACTATTGCTATAATCGGGTATGTGGGCAAGTATATAGGCTCAGTGGTCCTTAAGTTCACATTTAGTGAGCTTTGGCGATGGTGGTGATGAGGGTGGTGATGATGATGATGGTGGCAATGGTGGTGTTGGTGTTGGTGATGGTGGTGATGGTGGCGATGGTGACTGCGGGAAAGTGAGGTTTAGCTCTTCATCCCCCACCTACTGGCCTTCATTGTACTTGTTGAGTTATAATTGAACTTTCCTGTGATTTGAAATCTTTGTCGAATTGGGTCTTGAAGCTATGGATGAAAGTGGTGTCCAACAACATTTTCTTTCAGTGGATGTCACCTGCTGCCCACCTTACAATGTACAAGTATTTCCTTACACTTCTTTGGCTCGTTTCCAGCTTCCGCCTGTGTCCCGTCGCGTCCCACTTTCTCGAAAACTAAAAATGCTTTCCTTATTCCCCTTGCTTATTTACCTCGGCATCTTGACTGTATTTCTCTAATCCAGAACATCTGCAACCATCATCACCACCACTAAAGTATTCTCCACCACCACCACAACTAACATAGTCTATATCACCACCACTAGCACCTAGTCTCCGCCACCATCACCACCATCTCACGTAGTCACTGTTAAGTCAGGTTATCACCACCACTCCTAAAGATAACTAATCAGGCAACACGGGGAAGAAAATACCCGCGATTCACAGCCAAAACACACCTGGAAGAGCAACCCGTTCTCGCACTTGTTTATAGTCAATATTGGCTTATTTAATAAGTGCATATGTGACATACTAATTGATTGTGAATATTTTAGTTTACCTTGAAAAGCTTCATAGAAAACACCGACCTCACCTAACCTTCTTAGTATGTTAAGATAAGCATCTTATTGCTTCTTAATTACAATTATTACTTAACCTATACCGTTGATAGGTTAAGTAATAATTGTAAATAAGCAGCAATAAGATGCTTATCTTAACATACTAAGAAGGTTAGTTGAGGTCGCTGTTTTCTATGAAGCTTTTCAAGGTAAACTAAAATATTCACAATCAATTAGTATGTCACATATGCACTTATTAAATAAGCCAATATTGACTGTTAGCAAGTGCGAGAACGGGTTGGGAAGAGAGACGTAACGAGCGCTAACACTGTAACCAAAACATCGGAGTTCAGACTCCAACCAGCAGCCATTGCAGCAGATCACTGGCGATCACGGACACTAAAATCTTTTACAGAAGCAATTCAGAGATTCGAGGACAAGGCAGGTGATCATATAAGAGAGGCCTGTGTTAGAGACTGTACACACCAACAATGTTTTGAAATGCACCCAACAGGGTAGGGAGGGAATTGTCCGGGAAGTTAATTCGTTTCTTATCGGGGACAGGAAACCTGTGTATATATACTTTAGGCTTGTATCAAGATCTCCGTAAGGCTAAGGTCTCCTATCTAAGGTCTTGCGTCCTAAATGTCCCTACTTTTTTTTATCGCTCTGGTGCACTTGGGCGCTTTCTTTGTGGCTCTGGTGCACTTGGGCGCTTTCTTTGTGGCTCTGGTGCACTTGGGCGCTTTCTTTGTGGCTCTGGTTCACTTGGGAGCTTTCTTTGTGGCTCTGGTTCACTTGGGAGCTTTCTTTGTGGCTCTGGTGCACTTGGGAGCTTTCTTTGTGGCTCGGGTGCACTTGGGAGCTTTCTTTGTGGCTCTGGTTCACTTGGGAGCTTTCTTTGTGGCTCTGGTTCACTTGGGAGCTTTCTTTGTGGCTCTGGTTCACTTGGGAGCTTTCTTTGTGGCTCTGGTTCACTTGGGAGCTTTCTTTGTGGCTCTGGTGCACTTGGGAGCTTTCTTTGTGGACCCTCCCCAGAATTCATCCCTATAACATCTGCCTAACTCCCAGGTACCTGTTTACTGCTAGGTGAACAGGTGAACGGAAACGTGCCAAACTATTACTGTCACGCCCTGGTATCGAACTCAGGATCCTCAATGGTGAGTCTAGAACGTAGCCACTATAATACCGAGATCCATCAAGTAAAACCTGAAAGCATTCTTCAGTTAAATCGTTGAGAGGCGAGATGAGATAAATGTGACACATACCCTTCACAGCCGTCGACAGCCTTGGGAGATTTACACGTCCAAGATGTTGATGGTGACGGAGGCGGACGATGGTGACGGTGGTGGTGGAGATGGTGCGGTGGTTAAGGCGATGATGAATGTTACTGCAATGATGATATGATGGTGGTGGAGATGGGCGCTGCTGGTGATGGGAGTGAGGGGGTAGCGATAGCGATGTTGGCGGCGGTCGAAACGGCGGTGGTGGTAGAGGTGGTGGTGGTGGTGATGGTGGTGTTGGTGGTGGTGGTCGTTGTGGTGCTGGTAGTGTCGCAATGTGTGAGTGGCATTAGTTGCGGTTGGGATTAGCCACTAGGAATTTGTGTGTAGATGGTGGCATCTGGCCGAGCTAGCGAGGAAGAGAGAGAGAGAGAGAGTGTGTGTGAGAGAGAGAGAGAGAGAGAGAGAGAGAGAGAGAGAGAGAGAGAGAGAGAGAGAGAGAGAGAGAGAGAGAGAGAGAGAGAGAGAGAGAGAGAGAGAGTGTGTGTGTGTGAGAGAGAGAGAGAGAGAGAGAGTATGTGTGTGTGTGAGAGAGAGAGAGAGAGAGAAGGATAAGGGTGGAGGAAAGGAAAAGAGTGAGGCGTCAGGGAAGAAAATCCTGAAAGCCACCTTTCATATAAATAGGTCAGAGGCCAGGACGATAATATCATTGGCAGAGATCCTTCCTAACCTTCGCCAGTCATTGAGGTATTACCTTCAAACTCTCAAGATTATACATTTCCAGAGTGAGCCGTGGAAGAAGGTCTTGTTTTGAGTGACATGAATCACAAATGACTCGAATTTCAGGCTAAAATCTTTGAACAAAAAATCAATTAATGTCAAAAAAATACATTTTACAACAAATTCTCAACTTTAATCGAAAATATACTGGAATAAATCTTTGTAATATATCTGTGTATGTCATTGTACTGCTTTATGTTTGGTTGGCCTATTTTATCTATTTGCCCTTTTGTATGTCTATTTGCCCTTTTTTATGTCTATTTGCCTTATGTAATGTCTATTTGTATTATGTCTATTGGCGAGAGAATGATGAAACCGCGAAGAAAACATTAACCAGGAGCAATAACATAAACTTTTCAACGCAAGCAGTAGCGGCATCAGGATGATAACAGGAACATAAACATAACCCCAGGACCGCTAACAGTAACCAAGCCGCTGTGATAAATTTGGTTGTGCCGTGATAGGCCATAATGTATAAATGCAGTTAAGAGAGGTGTGTGGAGGAGGAGGCTGAGGACCACGCCCCTCTATTGTGCCTGTTTGGCAGCTCTTGTGACGCTGTACTTGTGGTGATTTATGTCTTCTGGTCTCCCCCTCCATCCTCTCTCTTTCTCTCTCTCTCTCTCTCTCTCTCTCTCTCTCTCTCTCTCTCTCTCTCTCTCTCTCTCTCTCTCTCTCTCTCTCTCTCTCTCTCTCTCTCTCTCTCTCTCTCTCTGTCTCAGGTGGATGCTAAGCAAATGGCTTGAGACTCGTTAACAGACTTAGAGCTTTCCCAAGCCATAGTTCATCTTAAGCCATACCTTACTAATTTTCTCTGGAACACGACCTGTGAATCAGGTTGTAACCAGGTACCTGTTTACTGTTAGGTGAACAAGGGCGAACAGTTAAAGCTCAGTGCACAGTTCACCTTATGACTTTGGTTACTCTTAATCACCATCACCTGTGTCCCTCATTCCTCCTCACCTTCTGAGCAATAACTCCTCTCTTTTCCACTACATCTTATTCTCATATATCATCATATATCCTCCTTGGCCCTCTTCCCCCCTCAAAAGAAAAATAGAAGTTTCACTAGGACAAGCAAGAAAGAGACCCCTTGACACATTCTTGCATCTCAGCCCAGCTTGGCTGCGGGCTTCCCGGCCAACAGTCAACGGTGGCTGGCGGCTGAACCCCAACTCGTTTACCATAAATAATAGCAGTTGACAGGTCCCTCTGGTGCTGTACCCTCATAGGCTCGATAGCGGCCCTCGGGAGCGTGTTGTGTATTGTATCTACGTTTGCTATCGTTTGTTCCTTTAATTGAATCGGGGGGTTTTTGCCTCTAGAAAGGAGTTGTATGGCACAAGTGTGAGAGTATAGTATGCATGAATGTATGTATGTATGTATGTGGGTTTTGAATGAGTGATTGTAGGTATGTGTGCGTGTAAATTATAACAAATAATAATTGCAAGGAATCACTCGAGCCCGAGTGACACGACGCTGCCGTCACACTAAGCACGCCAAGAAAGTGCTCAAGCTCTCCTTGATGTTTTGAAGATTTAACGGAAGATTGTCTAGAACGTCGGGGTGCTCTGCTGTGTGGTACAGAGTTACTGTTCTGCTGTGTGGTACAGTTACTGATCTGCTGTGTGGTACAGAGTTGCTGCCCTGCTGTGTGGTACAGAGTTGCTGTTCTGCTGTGTGGTACAGAGTTACTGCTCTGCTGTGTGGTACAGAGTTACTGCTCTGCTGTGTGGTACAGAGTTACTGCTCTGCTGTGTGGTACAGTTACTGATCTGCTGTGTGGTACAGAGTTGCTGCCCTGCTGTGTGGTACAGAGTTGCTGTTCTGCTGTGTGGTACAGAGTTACTGCTCTGCTGTGTGGTACAGAGTTACTGCTCTGCTGTGTGGTACAGAGTTACTGCTCTGCTGTGTGGTACAGAGTTAATGCTCTGCTGTGTGGTACAGAGTTAATGCTCTGCTGTGTGGTACAGAGTTAATGCTCTGCTGTGTGGTATAGAGTTACTGCTCTGCTGTGTAGTACAGAGTTGTTGCTCTGCTGTGTGGTACAGAGTTATTGCTCTGCTGTGTGGTACAGAATTACTGCTCTGCTGTGTAGTACAGAGTTATTGCTCTGCTGTGTGGTACAGAGTTACTGCTGTGCTGTGTGATACAGAGTTACTGCTCTGCTGTGTGATATAGTTGTTCACAGTCTTCAGTAACTGTACAGGATGCAGTTATATATATCTTCCCGAGAGAGAGAGAGAGAGAGAGAGAGAGAGAGAGAGAGAGAGAGAGAGAGAGAGAGAGAGAGAGAGAGAGAGAGAGAGAGAGAGAGAGAGAGAGAGAGAGAGAATCCACCGTGACGGGTGGGAGGGAGGGAGGGAGGGATACCATTGGTCTATACGTCTGTGTGTGTGTGAGAGAGTAGTAAGTTGGCCATGAATTGAATAGGGAAAACCCGGTGTTGGTACAACTGCTGCCATAGGGAGAGGGAGGGCCGACATCAATGGGCAGCGGACACTGTTAGTGTAAGGACGGCTTGGCTACAAGAACTGGGGTGAGGAGGGTACCGCCAGTTGAAGATTTGACAGAGGTGGTGACTCCACAAATCGAGACGTGAATGCAAATCAAGGATGAGACAGACAGATAGACAGACAGGCAGGAATGTGGTATTTGATTACTTATTTTACTTTGAGCCAGAAAACTGTGGTGAATCAATAAACCGCTTTTGAGTCGAATTCTTGGCAATATATCTAAGCTTACGCACTACACTAGATACGATAATGTTGTAAGAATGTTGGAAAGTGAGTAATGCATTCGACCGCTGGCCGTAAGCTTAACCTTAGTTAAGCAAGGCAGTTGGTTAGGTAAAATAAGCATAGGCTTTAGACAGTGTAAGTAGCACTTAGGCATTAGACAGTAAAAGTAGCACCTAGGCGTTAGACAGTGTAAGTAGCACATAGGCGTTAGACAGAAATTCCATCATTACCACTACTGCTACGGCTTATATGTGCTGTGATACAAATTATTACAGTGAAGTACAATGTGCGTTCATCATACGTATTATTCGACAAATATGTATTTGGTGATTATTAGTTTAGAGTGTTAAAAGTGCCAGTTAATCAGACGACTCTTTTTAAATTCATCAAGTGAAATATAAAACTCAAAATAATATAAGAGTATCACAGAGAGTATAACAGCGTATAACCCGTTTTATAAATGACGGGTTAACTGTCTAATTTGTATTCTCATTTTGTAGCCGCACTCTTGGAACTATCGTGGGACTACTCACTGATCGATCAAAGCCTTGGAGGCGAGGAAAGTGAATGAGACCAGCGGTGGTTTAAGCGCTCTTGGGCCCCTTACCCGGCTCTTGGCCCGTCTGGGGGGCCCCCTGCACCACATTCAGGGAACCTCAGTAGAGTCGCGGTGACGTTTATTGACTTTCGGTGTCGACACTTTATTGAATTAGGCAAGAAGGTATACATTTGAGTCGCGTTGAATTGCCATCAGGTCACTTTTAGTTGAGTGATTTAGCGTGACGAGCGCGGAGTTCAAGCCATAGCGAGAATATCTCGACTTCGTTGTTTGAATTTAGTGGAAAGCGTCAGTTTGTCGTGATTTAATTCGTAGGGAAATTTGTATGGAAGAGTAGGCGGTCAGGGTGGTCATAATGTTTATTGTATCACGTGTTAATTTCTTCGTGATTTACACACGCACGCACGCATGCACGCACACACACACACACACACACACACACACACACACACACACACACACACACACACACACACACACACACACACACACACACACACACACACACACTGGGGGCCTCGCGGCTGAGTTGCCAGCACTCTGGGGTCGTAGTCCTAAGGGCAAAGACGACATTCATCTCTTTCCAGTCGTTCCGTTTTGTTTCGAGAAAATTGTGCGTTATTAATCTCAATATCTTTATTGACAAATTACAATTTTGCCTAAGCTGAGGATTTCAATTAAGTCTTATTAAAGTGAGGATAATGCTGGTATTCACTGTCACGCAGGACAGAGGGTCATACAC